CCTGACAATAATACATTGTTATTCTCTAATCTCCTGTCTTTTGCGTTGCTATTCTCATAGGTTTGACTTCTACTTATATTATAAAATTGAATTTTATTTGAATTATCTTGGCAATAGAGATGAAAAAAGTTCTTTTGTATTTATCTACATATATATTACTGCCAGTGCTTTTCATGTATTTATGTAAATCTGAGTTTCCATCTGGTATCCTTTTCCTTTTACCTGAAGTACTTCCTTTAACATATCTGGTAGTGCTAGTATGTTGGCCTTGACTTCTTTCCGATTTTGTTAATCTAAAGATGTCTTTATTTTACCCTCAGTTTATTTGAAGGGTGTATCTTTGTTGGATATAAAATTCTAGTTTGATTCCAACTCCCCCGAGCACTTTATAGATGTTTCATTTTCTTGCTTGAGTTGTTTGGTAAGAAGTCAGGCAGAGGTCATTCTTTTTTCTCTTATATTAAATGTGTTTTTTTATTTCTGTTTGCTTTTAAGATTTTCTCTTTATAATTGTTTTTCAGCAGTTTGTTTATGATATGCCTTGGTGAGTTTTCTGTTGTGTTTATATTCTTGGATTCATTGAGCTTCTTGAATAAATGAGTTTATATTTTCATCCAGTATGGAAAAAAATGGCCATTCAAATTTTTTTGCCTCCCCCTTCTGGGAATTCAGTTACATATATTTTAGATTTTCTGATATTATCCCACAGTGAGTTCCTGTGCATTTTCTCAGTCTTTTTTCTCCACTCTGCTGGATAAAACTCCAGAGTCTTCCAGCCATGTGTAAGCTGTGATTGTTTAGTTTTGAATTCACCGGATTTGTTCTTTCCCTGGTAGTTGTTCCTTGACTGGTCTTTTAGAGTGTTACCTTGCACAGGCACAGGTTAAGTATTCAGCCAAAGATTCAAGAGAATCTATATTCAGATTTCTGGAATTTGTTTGTTTCACCATAACTTTTCTCTTTCTAGTATTCTGCTTTACAAATTCCACCATCTTGGCTTTGGTAAGATTACTGTACTCTCTTTGGGATTGTGCTTCCAGAACAATCTGGAAGTATCTTTAGGTAGAAACTTGAGATTATTGTAGGGTTCATCTCATTTTTGCTCTTACCTCAGGGTTCATAGGCATGTGCTGCCTGCTGTCCAGTGTTTCCAAATAGGTATTTCCTCTAATTTGTCCAGTTTCTTGGTTGTTCATGGGCTGTTCCCATATCAATTATTCCATGGCCATAAGCAGTAGCCCCTATAAATTTTTGTTTCTATTGTATCGTAAAAAAATATTTTCTAAATGTGGTTGCTGCTATATAGGAACAAAATTAACTTTTACATATTAATCTGGTATACAGCAATCTTTCTGAACTATTTTATTATTTTCATAAATTGCAGAATCTCTTAAATTTTCTATGTAGATAATCATAGTGTTCATGAATGAGGACTTTTATTTTTCCTTTCCAAGAGTTACTCATTTTATTTCTTTTTCTTACCTTAATGCATTGGTTAGTACCTTTAGCACTATATGTTAAGTATCTTAGTAGCCGCATTTATTTTTTTTCCTGAATCTAAAAAATTTCTTTAATGCTCCACCTTTAAGTATCATCTTTGTATGTTTTTGGTTTTTTCCCTTTATCAGGTTAAGGAAGCTTCTGTCTATACCTAGTATGTTAAAAATATTTACGTCTGACTCTTGATCTCAGCTCTGGTCATGATCTCATGGGTTTGTGGGTTCAGACCCCACATTGGGCTCTGTGCTAACAGCACAGCACAGATCCTGCTTGGGATTCTGTTTCTCCCTCTTTCTGCCTCTTTCCCACTTGTGCTCTCTCTAGCTCTCTCAAAATAAATAAACTTTTAACAAATACTTTTAA